TAGTTTTATGGCACCACATTTTTCTCCCGAAAAAGTAAAAATAAAGGCAAATTGGTTTTCACTCGAAAAATTGACCAATATAAGTTTAGAAATAAATTAGCTGAGTGATGATGAGACGACATTTTTTTTTTTTTATCTACACAGCTATTTTTTCACCTTTATAGGAAAAAGAACAAAACTTTTTTTTGCTTCTCAGCTAAAATGACTACAGCATTTAAATCTTACTTTGCTTTTTTCTAAAGACGTCTAATTTTGCATACGTCATTATGCCCACACCGATTACGCCAAACGATTGTGGTATCATGCCACTAAAACGGCTGAGAATTTGTGAAAAAAAGCTGTAAAAACTTATGAATAGTAAATAAAAACTGTCTCGTCTGTAAGTAAATTAATTCGCCCCATCTGATACAAACCATTCAAAACCTAACTCAATAGTTTAGCTAAATCCACTAAACTTATTAGCATCGGTATTATGAAATATACACTTTCAAAGGAATATATTAAATATATATTATTGAATGTCTTATTGCACTAATTAATGTTTATACTATGATCAAGAGTCTCTCCTATATATGTATAATTTTTGCATCGTGCAATGGTATATATGGTATCTGCAAATAAACAGAGATACTGCTTTAGCGACATAAAGAGGTAAACATAAGGGTTGTTCATTTGTCGGACTAAAACTAATTTCAAGCATTTGTAATCTTCCTATCAAGAATATTCTCTAAATTTCTATTTATATCAATCAATAATTACAAGAACCCTAAGTATTCAAATACAAGTACATGGCAATATGCATGTTTCGCACCAAATGACAAAACCTGAGAGAGTTAAAGAGTTCAAATATATAAAAAAACAACATCAATGATGATGGGTCCTCATGTGGTCGTGGTCCCAACAATATTGGACGCTCCACGTTGTGCCAAGTGGCGGATGTAGAACCGTCGATGGAGTTGGACGGCGAAGTAGCGGCACGTGATACGAGCATGCATGCAATGTGAGTATACGTACTAATGAGTGGAGAGAGTGGGCGTGGTGCATGGAAATGGCAATCCACGCGTCGTACGGGATCGGAACTTGGTCTTGGACGATATATCATTCATGTATTTAAAATTTCAGGGTGAAAGTTTAACCCGAGAAGAAACGAGAGAAATTTTAAAGTTGGAAAAGAGAAAATAATTGAAATTGAGAAGAAAATGGAAAAAAGCTAGGGTTTGGACGTTTTCTGGAAGAAAGACAGCTGTGTGTGAGCATAGGGATATGGGTCGTGATGAATGGTCTGATCTTATCTACATGTACATATATATTATATGCATGTTTGTAAGTACTTGTATTTTATTTAGTACTTGAATGATTGTATCATTAGTTAATGGCATAATATTAGATCATGTCCATTGTAGGTATTTCACAAGTCTCTAAACAATAAAAAAAAAAAGAATAAACAAGTAGGAGAGACAATTCTCCTTGAGACATTTAAAAAAATTGACAGTTTTCAAGTGCCACTTTACAAAAATGCCACATTTTTGAAATCTTTACAAAAATACTATTTTTTCAAAA